TTCTACTACCCCAACTACGAATAGGGAAGAATACAGAAAACTATAAGAAAAAAGTTTTGAAGTTGTCTGGTTATAACTGATGAAATGATTATGAACAATAAAGTGTGTTCAAAACGTCATCCAGTAAATGATATTGTTTCACTGTGTGATATATCTAATAAACCAATTAATATGGAATTACATACTGCTACAGTGCCCAAGTTTTACACATATATTAGGATAATGAAAAGAAACAATAGCTTATTTCCAGCCAGCAAACATGACCTATCATTGATGCAAAATATTATTGAAGGAATGATCAATATTTCACTAGTGTTCTGATCCTAATAATGATAATTTAATGGATCTGTGAGATCAAAAAGATTGAATGCATCTGTGTCACTGAGAACGACTTTGAGGCATGTTATCAAAAATTCATCAACCATTGATTCTTAGCATCTCGACGACCCCCAGACAAGGTGGCAGTCTATGCTTTCCTGGGTGACTTAAACCAATAGCCAGAGACTTCATAGGTTAATATCATATTTTGGTTTTGACCACCCCTAACTCTTTTTCAATGCAATGCTATGTCACCTAACATCGCTTGACAAGGAACGCGATGACTTGGCTCAGACGAGTATTAGGTTTAGGTTAGTGTACTTCAAAAAGATACACAAACATAAAGAAAAAGATGTAAATGGATACTACGATTATTAATAGTACACCGTTGGATTCCAAGTGGAGCATATGGCTTCTGCATCACACCTCCATTTCACTCTGTCTGCTGCAGTTTTCTTTAGCTGGCTCCACGATTGACCATAAACTTCCATCTCCTCCTGACACGATATCCTCTATGTCACCTTCAATGACATGCACAACTCGTCGTCTCTCACTCGAGGGCCTGCATGACGCGCCATGTTACTCAACGGACTTCTTAGCTTATCTCCAATCCACCCTTATTGCCCTCGAGATATTTATTGGCCAGGAGGTTCTTGATTGGTTTGTTGCTAGAGTTCCTTGCTGCTTATCCTTTCAGGCTAACCTGGCTGGCTGGCTGGATTCAACATAGAACTTGGCACCCAAGTGCAGCAGTTCGAGTTACCACGTTCCAAATAGCACACAAAGGTAGACAAGAAAATGAGTGAAGAGAATCAATAGAGCTTTTACAAGTATAAGAGTGAAACAAAATGAGTATTGGTAGAAAGGAATATGAAAGTTTACAGAGACTGAATACATTTGCGTAAGCCATTGACAACGATTTTGAGCCATGTCACCTATCGTCTCCAGCCATTGATTCTTAGAGTCCCGAGGGCCCCAACCCGGAAGTCTGCATCTCCCTACCTGACTCAGTTTAACTGTCAAGGATTTCATGGATTGATGAGGCCATGTTTTTGTTTGGCCACCACTTACTCTTTTCTAACCTGCACCTATATCAGCTAGTAATGCCCGTCCGTCGGGGGAGGCGATGGTTAGGCATGCGCAGCACGTGACCTAGCCATCTCAATCTATGTAACTTTATAGCCTCTTCGATTGATTTTCCCTCTTTGCCCAACACTCTACGCCTAACGTCAACATTACTTACTTTATTATACCACCTAACGTGAGAAAGAGATCGTAAACATCTGTGGTCAAAAACAGTCAATCTCTTCATGTCTTCCGCTCTCAGGCTAACCATCTAATCTTCAGTGTCAAGTGAAGACAGTTGTTGATGAAAGTGTGCGGCATTCTGTTGGAAATGCTTTCCACAATGGGCGCATTAAGTCTCTGAACCATACACAAGCACTAACTTGATATTATTATTGAGAATCCGAATCTTGCAGTAGATTTCCCCATTGGTTTCAGATTAATGCATATTCATATTAATTTTCCAATCCTGCCTTTGGCATCCTTATCTGTATCAACCACAATCGTGCTGCCTATGATTGAAACGATGCTATCTAGGTAAGTGAAAGAAGTAACTTCCTTCAAATTGCTTCTATTTATGGTGATTGATGCCTTTTATCGTTGTTGTTGCTCTTGTTGATTAGGTATCTTTATCACCTACGATTAACACACTTCAGTGTGAGAAAGAAAATCGTTAAATAGTCTCGCCCTGAAACACGACTACTAATGCAAAGGACCAATCTGGAGACCGCTGGTTCGAACTCCATCACAAACCAGATTTCCTTCCTCTCTACATAAATATCGATAAGTTGGATGATTTCATCTTGAGCTGAAATCAGTTAGAGAACCATTGGAAAACTACCTGGGAGTACTGGACAGCTGTTTCTTCCACCTAGTTTGGGGCTTTTCATCAGTACTCACTCACAATGTAAGGTTCAAACCCAGGATCTTTCAGTTACAAGGCAAGCTCGTAGACCATTAGGCCACTGGGACACGATCCAATGGTCCATGAATTCTAACCGGGTACAGCAGATTGAAGGTGAGGCAGTAACTCATCGAAGAAGACATTGCGAAGTGGTCGCGCTATGTCATGAATTGGTAGAAGTTAGAATTCATGGGCTGGTCATTGGATCAGGTCCCAGTAGCTTAATGGTCTACGAACTCGCCTTGTAACCAGAAGGTCCTGGGTTCGAACCCCACTGGCGGGTGCGTACTGACGAAAATCCACAAACTAGGCGGATGAAACAGCTGTCCAGCACTCCCAGGTAGTTTTCCATTGATTCTCTAACTGATTTCAGCTCAAGATGAAATCATCCAACCAATCAAACAAAATCCCTACAAAACCAATACCTGAAAATATCGATAAGTTGAAATGTGCATGATTTCGAAGGTGTGAACACATGTCCATAATTATTTTATCTACTAATACAATCATTATACTACCAATATTAACAATAGTCAACAGTGTGGAAAAGACACACCTACTTAGTAGAACAGAAACAAATTAGATGAAGGTTAACACAAACACACGCACGCACACACATACACACACTCATTTGTATACAAAGACTAATCAACTGAGCCGTGCTAATTAATTGTTTTCTAAACTCCAAAAAAGATGAACAACTTGTAGTGAGTGATTTAGTGAAAAATTTCACACAACTTTTGATATATATAATGAAATAGTGTATGACAATATGACAAGTAATCATATAAATACAAATGTCTACAGTGTAAGAATTAATCCAAGAGTGAATTTGGTATAAGTTAAACACGAGAAGAAAACTAATATTTTTTTAAATAGCTACGTATGAATACTGATGACAGCGACTGTAATAGAGAAAACTAAAACATTGTCCATCTAGAAATACAAAATTACTGTCAATTAATAGAACCATTACAGCCACATTTAATACAGTAACTGAGTTTATTAGTATTTCAGCAATGAATGACAGAAAGAAACAGTAAAAAATAGTAGTAAAATATTAGACAAAAGAAGATATAGTGGCGTTGAGTTTATAAAACTGAGATCTGATCGAGTTAACTACAGTATAGATAGTGGATACACCAATACTGATAACTAAAATTATCAACTTTTCATCTGTAGTGTTTTTGCATACAAGGTCTTTTAGAAAAGCTTCACACTGACAGTCAGACAGTTAGTGACCCTTAAATATGTTTTTGTCTATTAATTCTGAAACATTATCTTATTTTGCGTAGAAAAGTTTACTGAATACAGACATGTGTTAATTATATATATGTGAAATATTGAATAAATCCAACAACCTCATTAGTTGACTAGTGTTTTTTTTCAATATTTAGGGTTTATTGCCTGTAAATATTCAAGAACAGATACTACATTCAAAGGATAAGAAATCTACGAAGATGTATCAATCTCATAGAATTTAGAATTATACATCATTGATGCAGCATTACTGGAGATGAAATACAGATTTTAAGTTTCATTCGCATCGATGTGCACTATGTACAAGGAACGCTAATGACGAAAAATTCAGTGATTATGGTCTCTCTCTCTCGACATTGAAGAACAGATGGCCAGCTGGATAGGATAAGCCAGAAGGAACTCCGGCAACAAACTATTACAGAAGGAAATGGGGATGGATTAGACGTGAGCTAAGAAGACTGTTAAGTGACATCACGTGTCATGCAGGCCCTCAAGCAGAATTCAAATAGGAGACAAGGAGTTGGGCGTAGATCACAGGGTGATATCAAGGAAGAAATGAAAACTTCTGGGCAAATGTGAAGCCTTGATAAATAAAAAAGGCTATAGACAGCAGAGTGAAATGGAAATGCGCTGCTGAAGCCCTATGTTTCACTCGGAACCCAAGGGAATAATAATAATAGGTTTCAAGCAGTTTTTAAAAGAAACTAGAAGCATAAATATTAACATATCCACAATCAAAACTAGAAATTTTCGAACCGATGGCATAAGACATTTTGCTAAGCTATTCAAAAATGTAAGTTTATGAGTGAGCTAAAATTTGAACAGAATTATTTCTTACGGATATGAACACTCCAGCAAAATGCTTAATAATGTCAATTAACATTCAAGATTATAAAAAACCTCGGAAATCCTAAAAGTTATTTGTTACAATATAAAATATACATTTCAATACGAATATACTGATTGAAACAACATTGACAATTAAGGAGTAATAGACAGGTCTATAAGAGATCACGATTGTTTCTTAACTAAAACACACACTTTTACTTCTCATATTTATTGATCGATTCTCTTCATTTTCAACTAATAACCGAGTTGTATTTGATTGTTAGAGTGAATGGCATTGAAGCCAGCTAGTAATCACGAACTAACACTACTAAAAAATCATTATAAAAGTCATTTACAATACTGATATTGCTTCAGTCGAGTTGTGACCAAGCACACTTCTAACAGGATCACTAGTTATTCCTATAAATCCCTGTGACACTTTAAATGAAATCAATTCATGATCACATTTTTGCATATATATATATAATACCACTGATGATAGCATGATTTAATGTTCTTGTTAGTTTTTAGTGCGCATAAAAGTGCGCATTATACAAGACTTTGTTAGCTTTAGAAGGCAGACAATTTTAATCAAAACGAATGTGAAACAGAAAACACAATTCACCTTTCATATCGTTCTGTTAAAATTTGAATCTTTTCTTCATATTTACAACAATCTGTATCGTATTTCATACGTAAATCATTCAGTTTAGCTTCTAATTCAGTTGCAACACTATTCGCTGTTAACAAGTTTGAACGTAAGCTTTCAACTTCATATTGATGATCTAAGCTGCGAATAAATGAACAAAAAACAGGAAAATTAACTTAAAGTACAGAAAATAAAAATATGTGATTCATCAGAGAGGCTCTTCTTGACGATTTCATCTACCACAGCTGTACAATTGCAATTCTATACCTTTTTTCATGAGTTAGTCCAATACTTTTACGCTTAATGTAAGTGGTAACTAGTGGAATATGCAAACAGTTGTTCCTACTAGTGAGTCTTAATCAGAATACGATGAAAATATAATGAGAATGAACAATTACAGACAGGGGATTGCGCAGTAAGACAAGATGCTTAGTTAACGAATTATTACAAAAAGAACATAAATAAGAGGGAGATAATGTTACGTAACTAGCAGAAAGAATATTCTGATTTTGCCTTTTGCTTAACAATTTGAGATAAACCAGATGGAAGCAATAGATGAGTAACTGAAACAGCCTGTTCTGTATACAAAGATCTGGCTTCTCTATTTTAATGACTAGAGTTTCAGTAATACAGATGGGCAAGATACATAATGACTGATAAGCCATTTTTCGCCCAAGAGATAATTCTCGGGGAAAACGCTGGAGAGACCATGGGTGACAAGGTGTTTTATCATTGAATTTCTTACAGTCTCACTACCACTTCCTTGTAATCACGCAGGCCGACATTCTTGCGCCTTTTTTGAAAGAACTTGCCTCGGACCACCGACATACCTAGCTTCACAGGTGAACGTGTACTGGAAACTCAGGGTTTGTCAAGTGCAGGATATCAAACAGGTTGCAGGAAATTATTGGTTTATTAGAAAACCCTACTCTCAGCAATACTGGAACAGTTACACAGATGGAAAAATTATCAGATGACTATTTCACATAACAGCTCTTTATGAACTGATCTCAAAGTTCCATCAATTCCCTTTGGTAGCTTAGCATTGAAAAAAGTAATCTTAGACTTATTCTGCACTTCAGGTGTGATTTTACCCATGGATGGTTTTCTGCATAAAATGAATGAATGTTGTCGCTGCTAACGATTCATTTATTATTAAATTACATACATGTACTTTAAGTAAAGTGAAGCATTTTCCTGCAAGTTCTGACTACAACGAATTCATAAATACATACAAAATGTTTAGGACTTTTGCTTATTTTTCACTGTTGATTAAGAGGTCTTATTTAACTCAACTAAATCTCAAATATACCAGGGACTAGGTGAGTAATTTTCAATGAGCTCTAGAGAGATAAACTAAAAACTACTGTCTTACCTGTCCATTAATTTAAAAGGTTGTGAACAAAGTTGTTCTTCACTTTGACTAAACAACTGGGCTTATTAACAGCAATAGACAGGTGATGATGATATCTGAACGGTTTTGCGAGATCCAATCAGTAAATATTAGTGTCTTGTATATGAAAGTAATCTATAAACCAACAGGAGACAAATCAAAGTAACATACTATAGTGCATTTCATTTTTAATGTAAATAATAATTTAAGTATATTCAAACAAACTTATTGAAAGTGACAAACTTAGGACAAAGGCATTTTCACTGGCGTGAAAAGCTACATTTTGAAGTGATAACAATTATAATTCAGGCAACATCTTCATTGGATAATACAACGAAGTGGAAAAGTTATTTCATCCTCAACAGAGATATCTTTTGCACAAAAGAGATAAATCTACCACCCGTTAAACAAATTACGACTGTTGCGTCCTGGGTCATATTTTAAGTTTATTTCTACCGCACAGACAATCACACTGCTGTAGTAGAACAATAATAGGTGCTAGTCATAGTTATTGGTAGAACGCATAAAAACGTTGATATATGAATAAGAACGGTACGAAAGAAAAGGACGTTGGATGGTTTCCCAATTACTTGCAACTTTAAAATCCTAAATAAAAACCTAAAACTTCAACGAAGTACCAATAATCACGCTAAAAAATACCAAAATTACCGTCTAAAAAATTAATTTGCTATTACAATAACATTGGCGAAATTTAACTATAGCGACCGGGAGAATGTACGGTCTTTAACGAACAACTAAATTTCGCATGTAATTATGTATACACCTAATGGAACTCAGGAGGGTCAAGTGTTTGATAGAAGTGAATATAAAACATGTGTTCAAAGTGTCAGCCTTGCAATAACAACTGATCTCGTGTTTTCCATAGTATAACTTCACCAAAAAATCTACATCAGCGTCCTACATGTTTCTATGTATCAAATAACGAATGAATAGTGGGGAAACCATAAATATCAAACCAACCAACCTCGTAACATGTCCTTCAACGTTTAAAAGTTGTCAAGGTGAACTCGGAGAAAAATACCATTGACCTTGAAGTTCAATTGAAATTATTTCAAGTACTCTAATCTCAAAATACAGGCTTAGGAATACCACGTTTCAAGCCTTTAAGGTGAGCTATTCCGCAAAAGTTGTAATCTGGCCTTAAAGGAATTCACAGAACATACTTAAACTAAGTTCTATTTATGAAAATATGACCGTTTCATAATTCTGTTTCACTAGCTAACTTCTGTAATTATACAACTCAGCTCTGCCTTTGGGATATTAGTATGATATGTCCATGGATTTCTGGGCCTAGGTGCGCTTAACAATTAAACTAGCACATAAGTAATTTTATAATGCCAACTTCATAAATAACATATAGTATAATCGCGTTACTTCCACACTTTCAACTGACCTGAATAAATATTATGAGTATTCCCCGAATCACATCTAGGCCTACTATTGTGAAATCCCTGTGAAGAGACCATAATACTATGTAAGCCCTTCAGAACCTTCTTACAGTCTCCCGCAGTCTTAAGGATACTGTTGATAATGTCTTCTAGCCTTCACAATGATTTACCTGTGGGATAGAAATGTAATTCATCGAGTGACTCTCGATATATGTGTTATCATTTATCATGAGCTAACCATTCAATACGTCGACATTCAGGGACAACTGTTGTGAAGCTCAAGCAGTATACCTCAGCCTTAGTGAATATTAGGAATTCCAGGTTAATTTTCCAAGGCCTCTCAGGGATACAGTAGGGGGAAGCCATTATGCACTCACATATAGATAGTGTAAACAACCTAGAAAAATGCGTCGATACAAGACAGATTTTACTAACCTTTATGAAGACTAAACATGCCCCTTAATAAAATCATTTGTCAAAAAGGACAAACGCTGGTGCAGTCCCTGGCAGTTATCGAAGCCAAAGAAACGAAAAGATAGTGAGAAAATATTCTGAAGCCATAGCTATTCATAAAATAAAGACCCCCTTGTGTGTTCGAAAACAACTGAATAAAATAATACGAAATGATTTGAGATAATAGATTTAAAAAAGCATAATAAACTGGACAAATTTTTCACCACTAAATATTGCAATCTTAAAAACCAACTAGCATATGAAATTGGATCTTCCCAGGAGCCCATGGGCCTAGAAAGATATGTTTACATGTCCACTTATGCTTGTCTAAAAGACCACAATTATTTCATGGTAATGATAATTTATATTTTGTATAAACTGGTGTTTACAAAAAATGTATGCCATTTTTACAGGCACGATCAGTTATCTTATACATTTGCGTTGTATAATGCTAACCAGATTGGTTTGACCTCAAAAACTATGACGTTTTCAATGAAAATATAGCATTGTTCGAACATTGTGTTGTTGTGACTTTCATCAAGGCAATCAGGCTTTAAGCAACCAATGAATATTAGCAAAGAGTAAGTTTTACCTTTAATAAAGGCCTAGGTAGTTAAGATAAATTAGAGTATAATAGCTTGTAAATAAAAATATCATCGTGAGGTAGATAAGTGATATTTCAGTGAGAAGTGAATTCAAAGATCTCTAAGATTAGAGCCCATAGGACAAGCTGACCTTTAAGATTTCTCACGAATTTCTGTGGGGCCCAAAGGGTAGCATCTTGACGAGAAGCTGAGCAGGCTTGTAGGTGGTAGGAGCAAAAGCATTTTCTATTATTCAGATCTGTAAAACACTTCTTCTTTTTTAAGGATTCAGACTGATGATTAATTACCGAGCTGTCAAAAATGCATGTTGCCATCCTACAGATCGGAGCGATTCACATTTGTGACCACTGCTATATGTGCTATCCAGCATGAGCAACCCTCCTTCCTTTTTGATGTTAAGCCCTGAGATTTTTTTGAGCAGTAAATGTATTCGCAGCATTGCATTGCTGTGAGCCCATCCCAGTCATACAGTATGCTACACATTTATAGCTTTCATTAGGTCACCAGATACATCGATACGTGAGGACATTCTTAGCAGTATCACCTGTATGCATGCATACATGTATGTAAGTATTTGTTGCGAACGACTAGGAAACTAAGTTTGTCTTAAAGATTTATAAGGTATAGAAGTAGCTAGTATCACAGCAACTAAGTTATAATCTATTTAGCAGAGTGAAATGAGTAGTGGCACAATTAGTGATAAAGTCATGTAGAATGATCCTGGAGAAAACAGCTGGTTAACAGAACTAGTTATGCCAAATTTTCATGATCGAGTTTCATATGGTATGCTTCAGACATTGCAAAGTACCCCATCAACTTCTCTTGATGAAAAAATACAGAGAAATTTTTAAAAATTAACATTTTAGTTATGTGTATAATGGTAATTATTGACTTTCATAGTCATTTTGACAGAAATAATATGACTGTATTATTAATTATATTTATGTATAATATTAAAATGCATGGTTGCTAATATAATTGTTTCTAGAATATCTTATTCTAACACAACTTATTGAAGATTGTAGAGAATATAATATCAGTAATTTGGTTAAACATTTGCTCCGTAAGTAGTAGAGTCGAGTTTTATATGATTTTCGGCTTTGGCTGACCTTAGTGCAGTAAAACAAATCTGCCAGACAATAACCAATATTAATCTGCATTCAGTACAATTCAATTCTGGTGTAACTTACGATAAAAATACTGACAAATTTAGACAAATACATCACTTATTTCAAATTAATACCGGATGTGGATATAAATCAAGAATAAGATACCATGCCGCACACACCAAAGTTAATTGGAGGAAATGACTTCAAGCTCTGTTTTTTACCAAATAATTGTAATCCATCCAAACCTCCTTGTGTGGTTTTGTTAATGCGATGACAATAATTCCATATCTCTTAATGTGCTCCATTGAATGACTAGTTAGCAGATTGTACCCACAAACTAATGTCAAAAGGGACGGCAACCATGTAATTTCACCATGAATCAAATTTATGTAATTTAAATAATACTTATCCATGCCTGTAAAACTGGTTTGTCCTAAAAAGATAAAAGTCAATATATATTGTAACCGACCACACTGAAGACTGGACTGGCTTTCATTTACCATTCTACCAACACTTTTGGTCTCTTAGACGAGCCAGAGTGGACATGTTAGCGTGTCTTCTAGTCTCCGTTTGAGCCCATCGGGCTCTTCGAAAAACCTAATTTCAGATGCAAGCTGGTTTCTATGATTGCAATATGTAGTGGTGAAAAAGTTTGCCCTAGTGGTTTTCCTGTGGGTAGCCTTTTTGAGAATATAGTCGTGGTGTTGCAGCTGATATGATTTAATAGTTGCCCACGTTATAGGTGTTAGGTCATTACAGGGGAAATACTGAATGATTTGAGTCTTTACAAACTTACCCACCAAACGTGAAACCATAGACATAATGTTGATTGAGTTTTAGTTATTGATACCAGCTACAGGCCCGTATTTATGAATTGGTGCAAAATAAGTCTTCTTCTGGCAGGTAGGGTATGTCTCATTGCTTAGTTTGATGTGCTTTGCCCAGTGATCTAATACATTTGCTTGAACTTCGATTTGTTTCTCCAGTTCTTCATAAGAAGATTATTTGGCCTCCTTTCTACTTTCATGTTTTTTCCTTCCAAAATTCTGTTAAATCCATCAAAAAACAGTCACAAATACCTCGATTTTCACTCACCATATATATTCACATCATACGTGATTAAATAACAAATTCAGAACCTGGTTACCTGAATCCATCTTGATGATGCCCACTGATAAATATAGGATTTTTGATCAACTTTCACTGATATCACTGATTCTGGAGCATAGAGAACACCCACCAACGTCCGCTTAGTCCTCTACACTGGTTACAGGTATGATGAATGCATGTGTTTCATAATACATGGTCATGTCCATGGGTCGGATGCAGTGTACCATAATACAGTGATTTTCGTCCGAAACTAACTCAGTTTCCATTCAAAACTGGAAGTAACCAACTTAATCCTAATGTCGGAAATGGCGAAATTCAAAATATATACTCATTCTGAGGCAAATGATGCTTTCAAATTAACTGAACCGCTATTAAATGTCTTGGAAAACAATCTGACCTAATGAACAGTACAGACTAACATACAAGAGTGGTAAATTCGCTTTTACATTTGCAAGTTCACTCACACATCTATGTTGAATGAGGGAATTTTTGAGATTTACAGTCAGGCTAAACCGGCAAGGCGATAGAGAGAAAGATAAACAGCCAGACGGGCCGGTCACCATACGGCCAAGCTCAGAAAAACACTAAGAATTGTTATTACATTTCGAAACGTCACACAAAAATGAAGCGGATAGAACCAGAATTACACTGCAGTAAAAAAGCGCGGTGAAAGCACTACTAAATGTGCAGTAGTAGAACTCTGGAAACTATTTGGGATGGACAGTCTGTTAAAAGTCGCCAAATGATGAAGAGTATCATGTGTTTCAATAGGCAAATTTCGATGTTCGTATTAGGTTGTGACTTCTATGTGACAACCACGAAACGATTATGTTTGGCTCAATTCAAGCTTCTTTCTAATTAAATGCTAGCAATTTGTCTTGATACACGTTTCGATAGTATTTCTTTTTGCTTTCGCAAGTAATATATTTACTTTAAGAGCTAGCTTTTTTTGGCGATATGTCCGATATCTGGAATAACATCATTCCCCAGTGATCCAATATATTTCTAACTACTACATGAATCTCATGATTTGTTGGAAATTGCTTCTCGTTGTTTGGAATAGCTTTATAAATTCAGCGGATTCCGATACGTTCTGTCTCCCCGACTGCTGACACCGCTGAATGCGACACTGGAAGCACTCTGGTTTATTTAAGGGGAATCAATGGTTTTTACCCGACCAGTGGCGTTCCTGTTACTTGCAAAGTTCGTTTTGGGAAACAGTCAACCATTTATTTTTATTTTTGATTACAGCTTGATGCCACACCGTATTTTCAGTACAAGTATGGCATTTTCAGCATGGATATCGGTAGCCCAAATTTCGCAGACCGACCATAGAT